GTGTGTGTGTGTGTGTGTGTGTTTCTTGCTACCTGCCCCTCACACCCCGGCTGCCGGACTCCCTCCGTTTCCCCTGACAGCTGCGGATGAGTCTGGGGATGCATCCTGAATACTTAAACTCCTCCGCTGTACTCCGACTGCTAATTACGGCAGATATGCGGACTCTCTCTGTCCTCGCACAGTGTGCGACACACATATCGGGCAGTTTCCCTCCTGGTCCAATAGCAGAACTGACCACAGAAACTCAAAACTACATGGGGGACACACACTCAAATTATTTAGTTCCTATGAGGTCATGTTGTTAAAGCCAATGTTCTGGTTTTATCTGATGGGGGGGCATTAATACAGTTATTCCTCCATCATAGAGTTTATACACTTGACAATTTTAATGAATAAAAACGTCAGAGAGGACGTCATTACAATCTAATAAGTACAATTAGATTTAAGACACCCCGCTTTGTTTGTAATAATTTGTTCTGTTGTGCCTTGTGTCACTGTGTTTGGTGTAAAAGCCTAACTGGGGACAGGCATTGAGAATTAGCCCTAGCTAAAATATTGTAGTGTGTGACATGATTCATGAAACTTGTCCCCATCAAATAAACGAATAAATGAATAAATCCAGAACCAATGGACTGTCTATTTTTTGGGATTTCACGGCTAAACTCAGCTAGAAAAAACAGTCAGCTGCAAAACTAAACCAAAGTGGAAACAACTGCTCAGAAGGTTTCGGACAAACATCGATTAAAAGCCAGTAAAATCGCCCCCAAAGTGGACCTACCCCCACCCCCCCGTTTCTTGAATTATTCAGCCGCACAAACTTCCAGGACGTCATTAAAATCTAATAAGTACAATTAGATTTAAGACACCCCACTTTGTTTGTGGAAGTGGTCCAAAAGGTTGAGGTCAGCTCAGCAGAGGAATGAACACAGACCCTCAGAAACATCCTAAAAGCGGGATAACCGGAGCAAAGGAGCCGAAGCCCAGCCAGGTCAGCAGATTTCAACCGTTATCATCTATAAACGAGTTTAAAGCAGGATCTGTAAGCAGAACGGACTCAGATAACCCTGTGTGATAAGATGATGAGCTCCATGGGTCATAGATGTGTCATAGATGGGTCATAGATGTGTCAGATAGGTAATAGATGAGTCATAGATGGGTCATAGATGATCAAAGATGGGTCATAGATGGGTCATAGATGTGTCATAGATGTGTCATATATGGTCATAGATGGGTCATAGATGGGTTATAGGTGGGTCATAAATGTGTCATATATGGGTC